CTGATTCCTGCGAGCCACTCCAAGCCCTGCCTGGGTCTCTGGCAGATCCACTGCATGCCAAAACTGCCGGAACTGAATCCGGACCCTTGCCACAGCAACGTCAGGGACCCCCCGGGGGGCTGGAGGTCCCCCCCGCACTCCAGCAGGGTCACGGCCACCTGGAGCCCTGCGGGACAAAGGGGAGATGGGGATGAGGGCATAGATTGGCTGTGCGGTAAAAGTGGGCACTGCCATTCCAGAAGAAGGGTGTGGGATCCACCTGGGATGACTGGCAGGAGTTGCAGGAGGAGGGTGGGGAGGTCCAAGGGTCCAAAATTTTGGACAACATCAGAATCTGCAAGCAAGAATCAACATTTGGGTGGATTCGATCCCTCAACCCCATCTCCCCTTTGTCCCGCAGGGCTCCGGGCGGCCGTGACCCTGCTGCAGTGCGGGGGGGCACCTCCAGGCCTCCGGGGGGTCCCTGCGCCTCCTCTGCCGAGGCTCTGGGCTTGATTTTGGGAAATTTGGGATGGGCTGGATGCGCCAGAAACCCAGGCAGTGTTTGGAGTTTGTGGCAAGTGTCACCAGTGATGGCGCCACTCCCACATACGCGCCGTCATTCAAGGGCCGGGTCACGATCTCCAGGGACAACGGGCAGAGCTCGGTGACGCTGACCATGAACAACCTGAAGGACGAGGATTCCGCTGTTTATTTCTGTGTCAAATTTTGCAATGGTTACACTGGCAATGCTATTGATGCTGGTTATGATGTCGCTTCTGGTAGTGACCTTGATGGTCACCAAATGTCCCCAATCCCAGAGATCCTGCCCCAAAATCCTGGCTCTTTTTATCAAATCTTCACCATTTCCTCCAAACTCCACCATCACTTCCCCAGTTCCCAAATTTCCCCCAATTTTGCCCATTTCACCCCAATCAAGCCCTTCCCCTCCGTTCCAGTGCGGAACGGGGATCGCTCCGGGGCCCTTTGCACACAAAGCTTTTTGTGCAGCCGGCGCTCTGCTGCAGGGCCCCGAGGCTGAACTGCCCCCTGCCAAACACAGATGTTCACAATGACCAAAACCAGGAACTTTCTGTTTCCTTTCCTGCCCCGGCTGGGCCCCAGCAGTTGCCGGGGAGGAAGTGGGGGGAGGCTGCGGAGCCCCAAAATCGGGTCATCTTCGCCTCCCTCCCTCCCTCCCCCCCTTCCCTCCCTCGCTCCCACCTGGGGCTTCACTTCTCCCTCAGCGGCCTCGGTGTCTGGTCCTGCTCCTTGGGGCTGGGCTAGAATCCTCTCTGCGAGCTCTGGAGAAAAAACCCATTTTTTTAACCGAAAACACATGAAATTTTGTGGAGATGAAATAGTTGAAATTGATCTCGAGCCAAGGGCTCCATGCTGAGAGAAGCAGTTGGGTCCAAGGGTGGAGTCACCTGGAACGTTCCATCGGTGAAGAGCAGGGTCAGAATAGCCAATGAGAGCTCAGGAGCCAAAATGGCCCCGAGTGGGCCCCGAGCTGCGGTGTGGGGCCAGGAGTTGAGAATGTGGGGCAGAGCCAGGGCAGGGTTGGGGCACGGGGACAGGAATGGGGTCAAGGGTTGGGGTTTGGGGAAGAGTCTGGGACAGATGAGGGCAAGTGGTGACACAGCGATGGGGACGGGGACAATAACATAGGCATCATTATCAGCAGCAGTAGTACCAGCACCCTTGGCACAGAAAAAGATGGCGGAATCCTCGTCCTTAAGGTTGTTCATGGTCAGCGTCACCGAGCTCTGCCCAGTGTCCCTGGAGATCGTGACCCGGCCCTTGACCAACACTGTGTAGTCAGTGTAAGCAGCATTGCTGCTGATCCCTGCAAGCCGTTCCAGCCACTGCCCGGGTCTCTGGCGCACCCAGTGCAGGCCAAAACCCCCAAAATCAAACCCGGACCCTTGGCAGAGGAGGCGCAGGGACCCCCCAGGAGGCTGGAGGTCCCCTCCGCACTCCAGCAGGGTCACGGCCGCCCGGAGCCCTGCGGGACAAAGGGGAGATGGGGATGAGAAACCTGATTGGTTGAGAGCTTTAAAGTGGGCATGGCCTGCTAGATTAAGGGGCGGAAGCTACTGTGGAGGAGGATGCTGAACTCCAAGGGTCCCAGTTTGGGGCCAAGAGTCAGGATTTGGGTCAAGGGTTGAGCTTTGGCCTCATCCCCATCTCCCCTTTGTCCCGCAGGGCTCCGGGAGGCCGTGACCCTGCTGGAGTGCGGGGGGGACCTCCAGCTCCCGGGGGGTCCCTGCGCCTCCTCTGCCGAGGGTCCGGGTTCAGTTTCGGCAGTTTTGCCATGCAATGGATCCGCCAGAGACCCGGGCAGGCGCTGGAATTCATTGCATGTATCAGGAGCGATGGTTCTGGCACCTGGTACGCACCATCGATCAAGGTCTGGTTCACGATCTCCAGTGACAATGGGCAGAGCTCGGCGACGCTGACCACGAACAACCTCAAGGACGAGGATTCCGGATCCTATTTCTGTGCCAAAGCTGCTGATGCTGGTTGGGCTTCTGCTGCTACGTATATTGATCGTGCCGGTGGTGGCAGCGCCCTCGTCTGAGCCCCTCTTGTCCCCAAATCTCAGAACCTTTACCCATATCTCAGCCCTTGACATCATGCTTGACCCTTTGCCCAGATCTCCCCCATTTCCACTAATGGTGACCAAAGGCCCAAAACCCTCAAACTAGTTCTACCCCAAACCCTCCTGCTTTGGCACCAAAACTTGCCCGATTCTGCCCCAAATCCCCACTTTGGGCTCCCAGCCTCAGCCGCTGGCCCAAACCTCACCCGCTGCCCCCAAATCTCGACCCTTTGGGTGCTTTTGGGGCACGAGGGGGAGATTTGGGGCCGAGAGTTGAGTTATGGGCCAGACCCAGGGCAAGGTTTTGGGCCAATGGGCAGCGTTGGGGCAAAGGGGGCAGGGCTTGGACAAAGCATCAGGGGTGGGACAGGGGGGTTTGGGGAAGGGTCTGGGGACAGCTGGGGACAGGGACAGGGTGAGAACCGCAAACAGTAAACCAAACAACAATAATAGCAGTAAGAGCAGTGATAACACCAGAAGATTTGTGTCGTAGTTTGACCGGAAATGGGACATCTGGGATATGTTGTTTTGCTGTGATTACCAATGGGTAATTGGAATTTAAGATGGGCACTTAGTTTGACCAGTGGGACATTTGGATCCGCCTCTTGAGACTACGAACCCAAGGGGTTAAAAGCAGGGCTCTTGGCCTTCGGAGCTCTCTTGAGATTTCCGGCGTGAAGAAGTCTCTCCCCCGGCCCAGTTTCTGGCTGGGCTGGGGGAGGGGAAAGCCACGTGGCCCATCTACGGTAGGCCCGGGTTCGGAGGAAGGGTGGCAGACCCTTGAGCGACCAGTTTATTTCCCCCCCCAGAGAATGCAGCCCGTGCTCGAACTGTATATCTTGAAACTTGATATCATGTGCCGGCAGGCAGCACGGCTGGGAGGAGAAAGGGGGGGGGTTGGGCAGCGGGCAGTCCGGCCGCCTGGGAGAACTTTTAACCCTTTGGGGAATGAAGGCTTCGCAGAACATTGCCTTTCCTGGGAAAGGGACAGGAGTGGAAGATGAAGGAAGAAAATCAGGCCAGTAAGGAGGGTCTGGCAAAGGGAGAAGAGAGATGTTGACGGAATGGAGGAAGATGGAGTGGCAGTTTTTGCTGGACTCTTTTTTGTTGTATTTCCATGGACTGTTTCCTGGTGAGGCAGAGGCTGTATTGCAGGGGGAAGCGGAGGCTCGGCGTCAAGAGAGTTTGGTTTTGAGACCCCTCGGCCCCAGGGGGTATAGAAGACATGGGGGGGGGACAGAGGTCCCAGGATTGTGACTGTACTCTGCTTGGAACGAGACGAGGCATTCTTAAAAGGCCCTGAAGGCAGGCCCCTGCCCCATCCCATGCCAGGTGGTGAGAGCACCTCGGCATGGAAAGGAGATGTCACGAGATAGCAAGATACCGGGCGAATTGCTGATTGTGACAAGAAGTCCGTGGCACAAGGAAGGACTCCGTCTATCCCTTATGAGCTGAAGATTTGATTTTTTTCCAAAGGGTGGTGCCAGACCGAGTGTGGATAATTTTTGGGAAATGTAAATGTGTTTGGGAATTTGGTGGGAGGAGGATAAGGAAGTGTTTCTGTGTAGTTCTCATTCTCCTTGTTTTTTTCCCCTGTGTGTGTGTAGTTTAGTAATTGTGTGTGTAGTTTAGTTAATAAACTTCTCTTTATGTTTAAGTTGGAGCCTGCTTTGCTTATTTCCTGGCCACATCTCACAGCAGATATCAGGTAAAAGGTATATTTATGGGGGCCCTGGCTTTGCCGGGCCTAAACCATAACAATTTGGCACAGAAATAGGATCCGGAATCCTCGTCCTTGAGGTTGTTCATGGTCAGCGTCACCGAGCTCTGCCCGTTGTCCCTGGAGATCCTGAACCGGCCCTTGACCGATGGCGCGTAGTAGGTGCTGCCACCTTTGCTGATACTTGCGACTGGTTCCAGCCCCAGCCCGGGTTTCTGACGGATCCAGGCCATGGCAAAATTCCCAAAATCGAACCCGGACCCTCGGCAGAGGAGGCGCAGGGACCCCCCGGGGGGCTGGAGGTCCCCCCTGCACTCCCCACACAGGAGCCAGAGGGAGCTCGAGGCCAAGGCCGGGTTGTCCCCAGGGGCTTTGTGGGTTGGGGTCCCAGGGGGTTTGGGGGTTGTTAATAAGCTATTACTTTTGAAATCAATGTGGAAAACTCAGGAAAAGGTGTCGAACTATTAATGAGAATATTAAGTTCACTTGCCGGGTTTGAGGGACCTCAGGATACCCGAAAAATCTGGTGGAGACTTGGGACCAAACCAGTGAAGATATGAGTGAAATTGGTGAAGATTTGGGGATGGGCTCCGGGCGGCCGTGACCCTACTGAAGTGCGGGGGGGACCTCCAGCTCCCCGGGGGGTCCCTGACGTTGCTTTGCTGACGGTCTGGGTTCAGTTTCAGGAGTTTTGCCCTACAATGGGTCCGTCAGAGACCCGGGCAGGGGCTGGAATTCGTCGCCTACATCCGCAGCGGTGGCAGCACCTGGTACACGGATTCGGTCAAGGGCCGGTTCATGATCGCCAGGGACAACGGGCAGAGTCTGATGACGCTGACCATGGCCAAACTCAAGGTCGCGGATTCTGCTGTTTATTTCTGTGCCAAAAATTGGGATGATTGTTGTGTTCCTGCTGCTGGTGACGATATTGGTTGTGGTGATGTTGTCACAGTGTTTATTTCTGAGTCCCCATCTTAGAGTTCCCCCCCTGTCCCCAAACCCAGATCCTCCCCCCAAACCTCAGCCCTTGACCCTTTGTCCCAAATCTCCCCAATTTGACACAATGGTCAGCACTGACCCCAAACCCTGCCCTGCTCCTGCCCCAAAACTCAACCATTGGCCCCAAACCTTCACCCCTGGCCACCAGTTCAGGCCTCCTCCAATCAGGGCATGGGAACTGGGGGAGATTTGGGTGAAATGGGCAAAATTGGGGGAAAGTCGAAAGTTGGGGCAAAGATGGTGGAGACTGCGGAGGAAGGTCAAGAATGGGGTCAAGGGTTGGGATTTTGGGAAGGATTTGGGGATTTTGGAACATTTGGGGAAACAGGGATGGGGGCTTGGTGCCACCACCAGCATTGTCACCATGTCCAGAGCTTCCAGAGAGGATTCCAGCCCAGCCCCAAGGAGCAGCCCCAGACACCGAGGCCGCTGAGGGAGCAGTAAAGCCCCAGGTGGGAGCAAGCGACGGTGGGAGGGAGGAGAAGACGCCGCGATTTTGGGGCTCCGCAGCCTCCCCCCACTTCCTCCCCGGCAGCTGCCGGGGCCCGGCCGGGGCGGGAAAGGAAACAGAAAGTTTCTGGTTTTGGTCATGGTGAACATCTCTGTTTGGCAGAGGGCAGCTCAGCCTCGGGGCGCTGCGGCAGAGCGCCGGCTGCACAAAAAGCTTTGTGTGCAAAGGGCCCTGGAGTGATCCCCGTTCCGCACTGGGACAGAGGGGAAGGGCCAGACTGGGGAGAAATGGGGAAAATTGGGGGAAATTTGGGAATTGGGGAAGTGACGGTGGAGTTTGGGGGAAAATATCTGAGATGTGAGAAAAAGAGCCAGGATTTTGGGGAAGGATCAGAGAATTCTGTGATACTTGGGAACACAGAAAAAAGGGCTTGGGACCACAACCACCATCAACACCATAAGCATAAGCACCATTACCACAGCCAGTGCTTTGACATTTGGCACAGAAATAGGATCCGGAATCCTCATCCTTGAGGTTGTTCATGGTCAGCGTCACCAAGCTCTACCCGTTGTCCCTGGAGATCGTGAACCGTCCCTTTACCGACGGCGCTTAGTCGTTGTAAGCACCATCGTTCCTGATACCCGCGAGCCACTCCAGCCCCTGCCCAGGTCTCTGGCGCAACCACTGCATCTCAAAACTGCCAAAACTGAACCCGGACCCGCGGCAGAGGAGGCGCAGGGAACCCCCTGGGGGGCTGGAGGTGCCCCAAGCACTCCAGCAGGGTCACGGCCGCCCGGAGCCCTGCGGGACAAAGGGGAGATGGGGATGAGGAGATGCAAAACTCAGGCAGAGCTGTCCAAGTAATTAATGGGTGGATCGGGGCTAACTGCAGGGCTGAAGAAACTTTACAATACTGGAAATATCTGTGGGAGATTTGGGGCAAGACAAAGGGAATTTGGGGAAAAAACCAGTGAAGGTTTGGGCATGTGGGAATGGCCATGAACCTACTGCAGTGCGGGGGGGACCTCCAGCCCCCCGGGGGTCCCTGCGCCTCCTCTGTCGAGGGTCCAGGTTCAGTTTCGGAAGTGTTGCCCTGCAATGTGTCCGACAGAGACCCGGGCAGGGGCTGGAGTGGGTCCGGAGCATCAGGAGCGATGGTTCCGGCACCAACCTCGCGCCATCGTTCAAGGATCGCGTCAGGTTCTCCAGGGACAACGGGCAGAGCTCGGTGACGCTGACCATGAACAACCTCAATGACGAGGATTCTGCCACCTATTTCTGTGCCAAAGAACCACGCACTGGTGGTTGGAATGCTGCTGCTGGTTGTCCTTTCAGTTTCGTCCTTGTCCCCTTGCCCCAGACGCTTCCCTCCAACCTCTGACCACATTCCTGACCCTTTGTCCCAAGCATGCCCTGCTCTGGCCCTGATCTCAGCTCTGGCTCCAAATCAGGGCCGGTTTCACCCTGAGCTCACCCTCGTCCATCCAATCCCAATGATTTTTTCCCAACTGGACCCGTTCTGTCCCAAAATTGCAGTGGTGGAACTGAGTCACAGCCACGGAACAAAATCAGGCCCATTTTCCCCAAATCTCGACCATGTGCACCCAGGTTTGGGGACCTTCATTGAGCATGGGAGCCAAGAGCTGCGATTTGGTGGCAAGAGCTGAGATTGGGGCAGAGCCAGTTCAGAGCTGGGACAGGGGGACAGGAATGGAGGAAGAGTCTGGGAAATGGGGACGGATGGGGACCCGATGATGGGATCAGATGGATCAAGAGGAGCACCAGCACTGCAAAAATTATTATCAATATTTTTGGCACAGAAATAGGATCCAGAATCCTCGTCCTTGAGGTCGTTCACGGTCAGCGTCACGGAGCTCTGCCCGTTGTCCCCGGAGATCGTGAACCGGCCCTTGACTGAATCCGCATAGTAGGTGCTGCCACTGCTGTAGATCTCTGCGAGCCACTCCAGACCCTGCCCGGGTCTCTGGCGCACCCAGTGCATGGAGACACTGCCGAAACTGAACCCGGACCCTCGGCAGAGAAGGCGCAGGGACCCCCCGGGGGGCTGGATGTCCCCCCCACACTCCAGAAGGGTCACGGCCGCCCGGAGCCCTGCGGGACAAAGGGGAGATGGGGATGAGGCCAAAGCTCAACCCTTGACTAAAATCCTGACTCGTGGCCCCAAACTGGGACCCTTGGAGTTCATCATCCTCTTCCCAGGTGCGTTTCATCCCTTTTTCCAGTTTGCCACACCCGCTTTTCGGCGCTGAATTAATCAGGTTTCTCATCCCCATCTCCCCTTTGTCCCGCGGGGCTCCGGGCGGCCGTGACCTTGCTGGAGTGCGGGGGGGACCTCCAGCCCCCTGGGGGGGTCCCTGACATTGCTTTGCCGAGGGTCCGGGTTCAGTTTCAGTGGTTTCCACATGAGCTGGTATCGCCAGAGACCCCGGCAGGGGTTGGAGTGGCTCACGAGTATCAGGAACGATGGTGGCAGCACCAGGTACGCGGATTCAGTCAAGGGCCGGTTCACGATCTCCAGGGACAACGGGCAGAGCTCGGTGACGCTGACCATGAAAACCCTCAAGGATGAGGATTCCGGATCCTATTTCTGCGGCAGAAGTGTTGTTGGTAGTGCTGGTTGGAACGCTGCTGCAGGTATTGGTCACTCTCACGTTTCGGTTGCATTTGGCCCTGTTCCTATTCCCTGGTCCCCACCTATCTCCATTCTCTGGACCCTCCCCCAAAACTCCAAGCCTGGACCCCATTCCTGTCCCCATGTCCCAGTCTTGGAGTGGTTCGGCCCGAAATCTGCTCCCTGCGCATTGCCACAAATTTGACCAAAACTTAACCCTTGGCTTGAAGTATCCACTTTTATAACAAGGTTTTGGAGCAGAAGGAGGAGATTTGTGGTCAGGAGTTGTGGTTTGGGGTCAGCGGGTGAGAACTGGGGCGGAGGCAGAGCAAGGTTGGGATCAATGGTGAAGGGCTGGGTGTGGGCTGGGGGTTTGGGTGAAGGATCTGGGCAACGGGGACAGGGGGGGGACACGGGGATGGAGATGGGGACAGCAAGGCCATCGTCAATACCATGATCACTTTCAGCCCAACCAGCACCAGCACTCTTGGCACAGAAATAGGTGGCGGAATCCTCGTCCTTGAGGTTGTTCATGGTCAGCGTCACCGAGCTCTGCCCGTTGTCCCTGGAGATCGTGAACCGGCCCTTGACTGATGGATTGTAGTAGGTGGTGCCACCAGTGTTGTATATGCCTGCGACGTATTCCAAGCCTTGCCCAGGTCTCTGACGGATCCAGTACATTCCATAACTCCCAAAACTGAACCCGGACCTTCGGCACAGCAATGTCAGGGACCCCCCGGGGGGCTGGAGGTCCCCCTGCACTCCAGCAGGGTCACGGCCGCCCGGAGCCCTGCGGGACAAAGGGGAGATGGGGATGAGGCCAAGGCTCAACCCTTGACCCAAATCCTGACTCTTGGCCCCAAACTGGGACCCTTGGAGTTCATCATCCTCCTCATTGGTGGATTCCACCCCTTTGTCCAGCTGGCCACACCAACTTAGGGGCCCTTGACCAATCAGGTTTCTTATTTCCATCATCTCCCCATTTTCCCGCAGGGCTCCGGGCATCCGTGACCCTGCTGGAGTGCGGGGGGGACCTCCAGCCCCCCGGGGGGTCCCTGCGCCTCCTCTGCTGAGGGTCTGTGTTCAGTTTCGGCAGTTTTGGGATGGGCTGGTATTGACAGAGACCCGGGCAGGGTCTGGAGTACGTCGCTGGGATCACCAACAATGCTGGTTGGACTGGCTACACGGATTCGGTCAAGGGCCGGTTCACGATCTCCAGGGACAACGGGCAGAGCTCGGTGACGCTGACCATGAACAACCTCAAGGACGAGGATTCCGCCACCTATTTCTGTGCCAAATGTGCTGGTGCTGGTAGTTGGGCTGCTGCTGGTTATCCTTTTGACCCCATCCCCATCTCTTTGTCCCTCCCTGTCCCTGTTCCCCAGACCCTTCCCCAAATCCCCAGCCCGTGACCCCAGTCCTGTCCCCGTGTCCCAGCTCTGAGCTGGCTCTTCCCCATTCTCAGCTCTTGACCCCAAACCTCAGCTCCTGGCTACAAGTCTCAGCCAAGGTCCCCAAACCTGGGTGCAAGTGCTCGAGATTTAGGAAAATGGGCCAGATTTGGGTCGGTGGGGGTCAGGGATGGGGTCAAGGGTCGGACGGTAGGACCTGGGGAACCGGGACAGGTGGGGACCTGGGGATGGGCACGGGTCAATAGATTCAAGGGCACCAGCAGCAATGTTAGTGCTGGACTCTTTGGCACAGAAATAGGATCCGGAATCCTCGTCCTTGAGGTTGTTCATGGTCAGGGACATGGAGCTCTGCCCGTTGTCCCTGGGGATCGCGACCCGGCCCCGCAATGACGGCGCGTAGTAGGTGCCACCGTGGCTGTCGATGGCGGCCACCCACTGCAGCCCCTGCCCGGGGCTCTGGCGGATCCAGAGCATTGCAAATTTACCAAAATCGAATCCAGACCCTTGGCAGAGGAGGCGCAGGGAACCCCCGGGGGGCTGCAGTTCCCCCCCGCAATCCAGCAGGGTCACGGCTGCTGCCCCATCTCCAAACCTTCACCGGTTTTCACCAGACTCCCCTGGTTTGCTCCCAAATCTACGCCACAATTTTCCATAATCGAGTTTGCCGCAAACCCTACAATTAACCCCAGTCCACTCATTAATTACTTGGACAGCTCGTCCTGAAACCGGTGCATTAATTGCCGAAATAACATCATGGTAACGACCCCCAAAACCCTCTGGGACCCCCTACCCGGCACATCCTGGCCACGGCCTCGAGCTCCCTCCAGCTCCTGGCCCTGTTGGCCCTCCCAAGTCGGTCAAGCTCCCTTTCTCCAGTTGGCCACACCCACTTTATGCCCACAGCCAATCAGGTTCCTCATCCCTATCTCCCCTTTGTCCCGCAGGGCTCCGGGTGGCCGTGACCCTGCTGGAGTGCAGGGGGGACCTCCAGACCCCGGGGGGTCCCTGACGTTGCTGTGCCGAAGGTCTGGGTTCTGTTTCGGGAGTTTGAAATGGATTGGGTGCGACAGAGACCTGGAAAGGGGCTGGAGTGGGTCGGAAGTATCAGCGGCAGAGGTGGGACCTCGTACGCACCGTCGGTCAAGGGCCGGTTCATGATCTCCAGGGACAACGGACAGAGCTCGGTGGTGCTGACCATGAACAACCTCAAGGACGAGGATTCCGCCACATATTTCTGTGGCAAAACCACTGCATCTGGAAATGTTTATCCTGGTTATGCTATTGGCCCCGTCCCCATCTCTGCATCCCTACCTGTCCCCGTTCCCCAGATCCTTCCCCCATATCCCAACCCCTGACCCCATTTCCTCACTCTCTGTCCCAGCCCTGCTCTGGCTCTGCCCCAAATGTCCCCTCTGGGCCACACTCAGTGCCCTCGTTCCTCAAATTACATTTAATTTTTCAAAATTCGGGGCCAAAGTTAAGGTCAGGAGTCAAAAATTCAAATTTTGGCCTGAAATTCCCGATGTGTGGCTAATGGGCCAGATTTGGGTCAGTGGCTGTGGCTCGGTGCCTGCAGGGGAGATTTGGGGTAATACTGGACAAGTCTGGGGGCAATGGTTGGGATTGGAGGGCCGAGGCTGAGCTCAGGGTGAAACCGGCAGTGATTTGGGGCCAGGAGCTGAGATGTGGGGCCAGGAGCTGAGACATGGGGCCAGGAGCTGAGGTTTGGGGCCAGAGCAGGGCAGGGTCGGGACACGGGGACAGGAATGGGGTCAGGGATTGGGGTTTGGGGAAGAGTCTGGGGAACGGGGATGGGAGGGGACACAGGGATGGGGCCGAAACGTCAAACACCAGCAGCATAAGGAGCAGCACCAGCACCAGTGCGTTTGGCACAGAAATAGGATCCAGAATCCTCATCCTTGAGGTTGTTCATGATCAGCGTCACCGAGCTCTGCCGGTTGTCCCTGGAGATCGTGAACCGACCCTTGAACAATGGCGCGTACCCGGTCCAACCACCATTGTAGCTGACGCTCGCAACCCACTCCAGCCCCTGCCCGGGTCTCTGGCGGATCCAGTTCATGTCGTAGCTTCCAAAACTTAACCCGGACCCTCGGCAGAGGAGGCACAGGGACCCCCCGGGGGGCTGGAGGTCCCCCCCTGCACTCCAGCAGGGACATGGCCACCCAGAGCCCTGCGGGACGAAGGGGAGATGGGGATGGGGCAAAGCTCAACCCTTGACCCAAATCCTGAACCTTGGCCCCGAATTGGGACCCTTGGGCCTCCTCTGCCGCAGCGCCCAAAGGTTTAGCTGCCCTCTGCAAAACACAGACCTTCACAATGACCAAAACCAGGAACTTTCTGTTTCCTTTCCCGCCCGGGCTGGGCGCCGGCAGCTGCCAGGGAGGAAGTGGGGGGAGGCTGCGGAGCCCCAAAATCGCAGCGTCTTCTCGTCCCTCCCTCCCTCCCTCCCTCCCTCGCTCCCATGTGGGGCTTCACTTCTCCCTCAGTGGCCTCGGTGTCTGGTGCTGCTCCTTGGGGCTGGGCTGGAATCCTCTCTGGGAGCTCTGGACATGGCGAGGATGCTGGTGGTGGCCCCAAAACCCGATCCCTGTTTCCCCAAATGTCCCAAAATACCCAAATCCTTGCCCAAATCCCAACCCTTGACCCCATTCTTGACCTTCTCCCTCAGTGTCCACCAACTCTGCCAAAACTTTTGACCTTATCCCAGTTTTGTCCATTTCACCCAAATCTCCCCCAGCTCCCTGGGCCCTGATTGGAGGTAGCCTGAACTGGAGGCCAGGGGTGAAGGTTTGGGGCCAATGGTTGAGATTTGGGGCAGGAGCAGGGAAGGGTTTGGGGTCAGTGCTGACCATTGGGGCAAATGGGGGAGATTTGGGACAAAGGGTCATGGGCTGAGGTTTGGGGGAATCATCTGAGATTGGGGACAGGGGGGAACAGGGGGACGGGACTGGATCCACAAGTGGCGTCTTCACTATAAGCACCTGGTCTACAACAACCATTATTTGCACATTTGGCACAGAAATAGGATCCGGAATGCTCGACCTTGAGGTTGTTCGTGGTCAGCGTCACCGAGCTCTGCCCATTGTCCCTGGAGATCGTGAACCGGCCCTGCACTGAGGCTCGTAGTGCGTGCCACTACTAGGGTCGATCCCTCCAATGTATGCCAGCCCCTGCCCGGGTCTCTGACGCAGCCAGAACATGGAGAAACTGCCAAAAGGGAACCTGGACCCTCGGCAGAGGTGGCGCAGGGACCCCCCGGGGGGCTGGATGTCCCCCTCGCACTCCAGCAGGGTCACGGCCGCCCGGAGCCCTGTGGGACAGAGGGGAGATGGGGATGAGGCCAAAGCTCAACCCTTGACCCAAATCCTGACTCGTGGCCCCAAATTGAGACCCTTGGAGGTCATCATCCTCTTCCCAGGTGCGTTTCATCCCTTTTTCCAGTTTGCCACACCCGCTTTTCGGCGCTGAACCAATCAGGTTTCTCATCCCCATCTCCCCTTTGTCCCGCAGGGCTCCCGGCGGCTGTGACCTTGCTGGAGTGCGGGAGGGACCTCCAGCCCCCCGGGGGGTCCCTGACGTTGCTGTGCCGAGGGTCCGGGTTCAGTTTCGGCAGTTTCCACATGAGCTGGTATCGCCAGAGACCCCGGCAGGGGCTGGAGTGGCTCACGAGTATCAGCAACGATGGTGGCAGCACCAGGTACGCGGATTCAGTCAAGGGCCGGTTCACGATCTCCAGGGACAACGGGCAGAGCTCGGTGACGCTGACCATGAACAACCTCAAGGACGAGGATTACAGATCCTATTTCTGTGGCAGAAGTGTTGTTGGTACTGCTGGTTGGAATGCTGCTGCAGGTATTGGTCACTCTCATGTTTCGGTTGCATTTGGCCGTGTTCCTGTTCCCCGGTCCCCACCTATCTCCATTCTCTGGACCCTCCCCCAAAACTCCAAGCCTGGACCCCATTCCTGTCCCCATGTCCAGGTCTTGGAGTGGACTGGCCCGAAATCCGCTCTCTGCACATTGCCACAAATTTGACCCAAAATTTAACCCTTGGCTTGAAGTATCCACTTTTATAACAAGGTTTTGGGGCAGAAAGAGGAGATTTGGGGTCAGGAGTTGTGGTTTGGGGTCAGCGGGTGAGAACTGGGGCGGAGGCAGAGCAAGGTTGGGATCAATGGTCAAGGGCTGGGTGTGGGCTGGGGGTTTGGGGGAAGGATCTGGGCAACGGGGACAGGGGGGGGACACGGGGATGGGGATGGGGATGGGGACAGCAAGGCCATCATCAATACGATGAGCACTTTCAGCCCAACCAGCACCAGCACTCTTGGCAGAGAAATAGGTGGCGGAATCCTCGTCCTTGAGGTTGTTCAGGGTCAGCGTCACTGAGCTCTGCCCGTTGTCCCTGAAGATCCTCAATCGGCCCTTGATCGATGGATTGTAGTAGGTGGTGCCACCAGTGTTGTAGATGCCTGCGACGTATTCCAAGCCCTGCCCAGGTCTCTGGCGGATCCAGTACATTCCATAACTCCCAAAACTGAACCCGGACCCTCGGCACAGCAATGTCAGGGACCCCCCGGGGGGCTGAAGGTCCCCCCCGCACTCCAGCAGGGTCACGGGGCTGGGACACGGGGACAGGAATGGTGTCAGGGCTGTGGATTGGAGGGAGAAACTGGGGAATGGGGACAGGGGGGACATGGGGACAGTGACAGGGCCAAAAACGACAACAGCTCCAGCACCACCCCAACCTCCATTATTTAAACCAGATTTCATGCAGAAATAGAATCCGGAATCCTCGTCCTTGAGGTTGTTCATGGTCAGTGTCACCGAGCTCTGCCCGTTGTCCCTGGAGATCGTGAACCGGCCCTGCACCGAATCCGCCTACCCAGTCCAACCACCATTGTCCCAGATCGCCGCAATGAATTCCAGCCCCTGCCCAGGTCTCTGGCGCATCCAGCCCATGGCAAATTTCCCAAAATCAAACCCGGACCCTCAGCAGAGAAGGCGCAGGGACCCCCCGGGGGTCTGGAGTTCCCCCCCACACTCCAGCAGGGTCACGGCTGCCCGGCGGAGCCCTGCGGGACAAAGGGGATATGGGGATGGGGCGATGCAAAAGTCAGGTGGAGGTGTCCAATTAATTAATGGGTGGATTGTGGCTCATTGCAGTGTTGAAGGCACTTTACAATACTGGAAATCTCTGTTTCAGATTTGGGGCCAGACAAAGGGAGTTTGGGGCAAAAACACCGTGAAGGTTTGGGGATGGGGGAGTGGCCGTGACCCTGCTGGAGTGCGGGGGGGACCTCCAGCCCCCCGGGGGGTCCCTGCGCCTGCTCTGGCGAGCGTCCGGGTTCAGTTTCAGGACTTTTGAAATGGATTGCCTTCGTCAGAATCCTGGGCAGGGGCTGGAATACATTGCAGATATCACTAATGGTGGTGGCAGCACCGCGCACAGGGCCGTCGGTCAAGGGCTGGGTAATGATCTCCAGGGACAACGGGCAGAGCTCGGTGACGCTGACCATGAACAACCTCAAGGACGAGGCTTCCGGATCCTATTTCTGTGCCAAAGCTGCTTATG